TAAAGCTCCTGGACACAGTTATTCTCTAACTATGGACCTGTGAAACCAAGCAAATGAGTTATCTGCCTCCAACACACCCAACATACAATGGTGGGACAGACACAGGATAACAGCTATAGACATTCCAGTTTAAAAATAGGGGAAATGCACAGTAAAAAGGAGTCACTGGTCTATAGAAGTTTTGAAATACAACTGAATTTATTGGAAGTTCCTTAATCAGGTTTCTAGGCTTGGGAATGATCCTTCATGGCTCTTGGCTCTGCTTTCTGGGTTCTTAGTTCCACCATCTGAGTCATTCTTCCTTTTTCATGGAAGGTAGCATGTGTTTGCAGATGAGTAGTTTTATCAGCCTGCTTTCTGCCAGTAAAATTTTGGAGGTCTGACATCCTCTTTTCATTTTCTAGTCTTTTTTTCTGTCTTATTCCAAGTTGGCACTGTTTCTGCAGAAATAATTTTCTCAAGAATGTTGTGGTTCTGTATGTATTTCAGTGGCATTTACTCTTATCAGACAAAGGCCACATCTACAGATTGTTTCAAAAATAATTCCATCTCCTTTAAGCTTCCTAGAGGCTCAATAGTTTGAGAAGATCTGAGGCATACCCTTGGATCTTTTCAAATCTAAGTGCCGTCTCTTGAAATATACCTGAATACTTGGACCTTTGATGTTTCTGGGGCTTTAACAAAGATTATAGAGTAACTTCAAGGGCATTTTCTCTAGAGTAGGCTTTTCTGACAGTGCCCAAAAGCCATCTCCAATTGTTAATATTTTTTGCCATCTGGGGAGGATGAGGATTTTTTAAATTATCAAGTACTGATTCCTTTTTGCTTAATAGTTCTTCTCTCAATTTGTCTCTTTTCTTGCACTTTCCTGTAAGTAGCAAGAAGAAACCAGTTGTCCCCTTCAACCTTTGCTTGGAAATCTCCTTAACTATATAATCAAATTCATCCATTTACAAATTCTGCTTTCAACATAATTGTAAGAAATAATTTCACTAAGCTTTATACCAGTACATAACAAGGATCTCCCTTCCAGTTTCCTATAGCATGTTCCTTACTTCCTTCTGAGTCCTCAACAGCAGTCTTCTACTGACAGTTTGTTGGCAGTGATTTGGGTTTTATCTATCATACTTTTCAAGCATTCTTCTAATCTCTGCCCACTGATCAGTTTCAAAGCCACAGATATATTTTTACATATTTATTACAGCAGCATTCTATCTCTAGGCACCAAAATCTGTATTAGTTTTCCAATTCGATGTAACAAATTAACACAAATTGAACAGGTTAAAATAACACACATTTACCATCTCTCTTTCTGTAGGTCAGGAGTCCAGATACAGTTTAGTTGGGTTTTCTACCTTGGGGTCTCTCCAGGCTACAGTGAAGGTGTTGGCTGGACCATGTTCCCATCTGGAAATATGAAGAAAGAAAAATCTTCTTCCAAACTCTCTCAGGTTGTTGGGAGAATTCATTTCCTTACAGTCGTAGGACTAAGAGCTTCAGGATTTTGTTTTGTTTTGTTTCTGCTGGCTCTCAGCTTCTACAAACCACCTCTGAGTTCTTTGTCATGTGGTCCTCTCTGATAGGCAGTTCTTAACATAACAACTTGCTTCCTCAAGACCAGCAGGAAAGTGAGAGAGTGGGTCTGCTATCAAGACAGATTCTTATATAACATAATCATGGGAGTGATATCCCATCACGTTTGTCATATATTGTAATGCATGTATTACATTACATCATGGGAGTAACATCCTATCACCTTTGCCTTATTCTTCTGGCTGGAAGCAGTTCACAAATTCTACCCAGGCTTAGGGTGAGGGGCATAAAGAAGGTCATTAATACCAGAACGCAGAGATCATTGGGGGTTACCTTAGGATATGTCTGCCACATTGGGGGAAGGCAGACAATTCTAGGTAGCTATTCAAAGATCCAGAGAAATGAGCCTGAGTTACCTATAACAATGTTCAGATTGATGAATGAGTTAGCTTTTCTTCCTTTCATGTCTTAGTTTTCCTGGCCCCCTACTCCTATTCACTGGGATCTCTTCCCAAAATCAACTGTCCGCACATAAGTTATTGTCTCAGACTCCAATTTCAGGAAAGAAGCCAGGCTAAGATAGCAGAAGAGAATAAACTTGTATAAATGGTATGCTACAAGTTAGGAGGGATGGTAGGCAGGAGGTTCTCCTCCCCAGAAATTAATTACCCCCTACCCATATATTTCTCTGGACTATAATGAGGCAGTGCTAAAAGTTCATGGAAGAAAGCATGCTACAGTTGCCTTCTCTGTACAGATTTCAAGATACATCATCTTAACTCTCTCTTTCATAAAATTAGAATTGGCCCAAGATACTAAATTGGGCTAGGCTGGCCAGTGGGGTTCAAGTAGTTTCCATTGTAGGGAGAGACCTTTAAAAAGCGTAAACCTGGCAGAGCTCAAAAAAGAGCAACAGAAGTATTTGAATACAAGGGATAAAATTATTAAAGAACATTTTTCACAAATAAGCCTTGTTTCTTCAATTATCTCTATTTCCACCATGCCTGCTATCTCAAGTGATGACTATCACTCTACTCTGGCCAAGTTATATGTCAAATCACAAAGGTGAAATGAGATGACTGTCTGGTCATATGTTTGAGGGGGAGGAATGGAATTACAAAGAAAGGGAGACCATGACACTTGGAGGAAGAGTTATGAGGAAAGAAAACCAATGGGGTGCTTAAGAAAAGGACTTGAGTCAGAGTCAGCTGGATACCATGTCTAACACAGTGAACTATGATAATCCTCACAAAACATTTCTAAAATGATTGCCTTAGGATTACACTGGCTTCATGGCCAGGGTTCTCACTTCCTTTTCTTAGAATTAAGTTGATGCTCTTTGAAATGTCTAAAGATAGATGACTACCAATGGTAGTCAATCCTGAGGTTTTGTATGTACGGGCCCAGCACTCAGCTAAGTGTTTTGTATGCAATTGCACAACATCTTTATGAGAATAGATGCTATTATTATCTGTTTCTCTAAGCATGGGGAAACTGTTAACCTCAGGATGTTGAGTAACTTGCCCAACATCATACAGCTAGTAAATGACAGAGCCAAGATCCAAGATCTAGGCTGTCATCTGGTGACTTAAAAGGTTAAGCTTTTTGCTATTTTTTTTTTTTTTTGAGGCTCCATTGCTCAAGTTTAAGTGCTGAGTGCAGTGGTGCGATCTAAGCTTACTGCAACCTCCGTCTCCCAGGTTCAAACAATTCTTCTGCCTCAGCCTCCCAAGTAGTTGAGATTACAGGCACGCACCACCATGCCTGCCTAATCTAAGGCAGGAACAGAAAACCAATATCGCATGTTCTCACTTATAACTGAGAGCTAAATGATGAGAATTCATGGACACAAAGAGGGGAACAACAGACACTGGGGCCTACTTGAGGGTGGAGGGTGAGGAGAGAGAGAGGAGTAGAAAAAAGAACTTTTGGGTACTAGGCTTAGTACCTGGGTAATGAAGTAATCTGTAAACCAAATCCCCATGACATGAGTTTACCTATAATAACAAACCTGCACAAGTACTCCTCAACCTAAAACAAAAGTTAAAGAAGAAAGAAAGGGAGCCTGTGAAGCCCTCCTACATCTCATCCTGTTCTCCCACTGATCTAGCTTAAAGTTTTCCTGCTGCAACGTTTCACCCTATACCAGGTGGTGGGGGAAAAAAAAGAATTTTGGATTAACTTACATATCTCAATTGAGCATTGGAAGTCTACTGTGAATTCATCTGATGAAAAAGTTGAATGCATCTCTTCAGAAGTTTATCATTATCATCTGCAATCTACTGAGAACTTTCTAAAAAATGAATCCTGCAATTGTATGGCCAGCAGGGGGCAACTAAATACTTCCCAAAACAGCATCTTGTATAAGAGAACAAGTTAAAATTGGAGACTGTTAGCATTCTCAGCTGTGTAGGAGAGCTGACTTCCTTTAAAATAATTAACACCTAGACACATTCTCACAATACTGAATTTGTGAAGATAATTGGAACAGTTTCCTAAGTAGACAGATTATAAAACCACATTCTGGGGCCTGTATATGGCAGATTTGTTTTGGCTGTTTTTTCAGTCCACAAGGTTCCTTGAAAAAATTTATGTATTTCATGATCAATAGCTTTGTAAAACTTCTTGTATTATAGAAAATATAATGAACCTTGATTTATTTCTGTAGGTTATTTTAGAATTCTGCTATTTTTACTTAACATTCAAAGATAAAAGTAAATAGGGATTGCAGAGGATCTTGTTCTTAAAGTATAATAAAGTATCATTTCTTAGCCCTGTTTTATAGAACTAATTTTTAAGCTTGTTATATTAGTTAGGGTTGTCCAGAGAAACCAAACCAACAGAATGTGTATACACATACATATTATAAATATAGATGTTTATTTTAAGGAACTGGCACACATGATTGTGGGGACTCAGTTTCTGTTTGAGTCCGAAGGCAACCTGCTGGCAGAACTCCTTCTTTATCTGGGGAGGTCAGTCTCTGTTTTATGAAGGCCTTCAACTGATTGATGAGGCCCATCCACATTATGGAAAGTAATCTGCTTTACTCAAAATCCACTGGTTAAAATGTTAATCTTATCCAAAAACGCCTTCGCCAAAACATTCAGAATAATGTTTAACCAAATATCTGGATACCACAGCCTAGCCAAGTTGACGGATAAAATAACCATCACAGTTGCCTATTTCTTTACATCACAGTCTCAAAGTTGTAGGAGATCTATATGGTGAAATAGCTCAACCCTCCTCCAGATGCAGCTGCAATGCCTGGCACAAAGAAAGCATTTAGCAAATATACGCTGATTTGAATTGAACTGAATGTATATGAATTGGATTAAATATCCCTAGTGGTGGTTATGTTCTGCCAGGTTTCCAGTGCGGTGCTGGGGGGCAATGGAAGACACAGGTTAAGCACAAGCTCTGGAGTCAGATTGCTCAGGTCCACATAATGAGGCTCCCCTGCTTACCTTATATATACCTTTGGATGAATAACTTACTTTTTCTAAGCCTCCATTTCTTCACCTGTAAAAAAACAACAGTCATAATAGCTATTTATGCTAGATATTGCTTTCTGGCCTCACAGTGGATTGACTGTATTCCTCAGCAACCCTGCAACTGAATGGAGCCATGTGACTTGGTCTGGCCAGTGAAAACTGTAGAGTTTATGTGTGTCACCTTCAGGATGTGGCAGTAAAAGTTCGATATGAAATTCTTTTCTTTCCCGACTGTGGCAACCACGGAAAAAGATTCATCTTAAGATAGCAGCACCACAAGGTTGAGGCTGCCTGGATTATCATGTTGTTGCATGGAAGACAGTTGCCTGGAGAGTTGCCTGCAGCCGGAGCTAACTTTTTGTTAAACACTTACTTTTTCTCCCAACTGCAGCATAATCTAGACTATTCTCATGTATTGTCTCACAGAATTGTTTTGAGGATTCAATCAGATATTGTTTTGCAGGAAACTGCTCATTTGACAAGTCATAAGCACTCAAATGTTATAATTATGATATTTCATTGCCTTGATCATTATAGCAATTCAAAACTCAAACAATAAAATTAGAGTACCAGGTAACTTTTGTTTAAAGTATTAGTATTCTAATTCTTTAAACTTCTCCTCCGAACGCTGCCTGGCACACAGTAGGCATTCATAAATAAACCCTTTTTTTTTTGAGACAGGGTCTTACTCTGTCACCCAGGCTGTAACATGGTGCTACAACCAAGGCTTACTTTAGCCTTGACCTCCTGGGCTCAAGCAATCCACCTGTGTTGGAATCCCAAGACACTGGGATTACAGACATAAGCAGCCACACATGGCTTCTGGGATATTTTATTCCCTTACTGTTAGACTGGCAAGATTCAAATTTATTTCTTTTGCTAGACCAAGGTTCTCATTAAACAACTACTTTTGATTAGAGTTACCTATTAAAAAATGTATTACTATCCTGTCATCAATGGGGCTTAGGCAGTGATGGCTGCTCACACATCTTAACTCTTCCCTGAATTCAGACCCAACTGATAGGAAGCCAAAAAGATAAAATACCAACTTTAGTTGGCACGGTGGCTCATGACTGTAAACCCAGCACTTACAGAAGGCCGAGGTAGGAGAGCTGCTTGAGTCCAGGAGTTCAAGATCAGCCTAGCATAGGGAGACTCCATCTCTACAAAATGTTTTAAAAATTAGCCAGGCATGTGGCATATGTCTGTAGTCCCAGCTACTTGGGAGACTGAGGTGGGAGGATTGCTTGAGCCAAGGAGGTAGGGGCTGCAGTGAGCAGTGATATTACACCATTGCACTCCAGCCCGGGTGACAGAGTGAGACTTCATTTCAAAAAAGCTTCTTAAGATAAAGCTGATTGGATGTATTATAAAACACAACCATGACCAGGTTTTTCAATACTTTTTTTTTATTTTTTTGAGACAGAGTCTCACTCTGTCACCCAGGCTGGAGTGCAGTGGCATGATCTCAGCTCACTGCAACCTCTGCCTTCTGGGTTCAAGCAATTCTCCTGCCTCAGCCTCCCGAGTCTCCCGAGTAGCTGGGACTACAGGCACCTGCCACCATGCCCAGCTAATTTTTGTACTTTTGGTAGAGACGGGGTTTCACCATGTTGGCCAGGGTGGTCAAATACTTAAGTCCAAATGGGTGATGACTCGCCATAGGAGAATTTGAGTCTGCAAGATGGATAGACTTATATAGAATCACTGTTTCATGTTTGGTGAGATCAACAGTAGAAAGAGAGTTGGCCGGGCATGGTGGCTCACGCCTGTAATCCCAGCACTTTGGGAGGCCGAGGTGGGCGGATCACAAGGTCAGGAGATCGAGACCATCCTGTGAATGGTGAAACCCTGTCTCTACTAAAAATATAAAAAATCAGCTGGGTGTGGTGGCGGGCGCCTGTAGTCCCAGCTACTCGGAAGGCTGAGGCGGGAGAATGATGTGAAACCGGGAGGCAGAGCTTGCAGTGAGCCGAGATCGTGCCACTGCACCCCAGCCTGGGTGACGGAGCGAGACTCTGTCTCAAAAAAAAGAGAAAGAAACAAAGAATGAGAGTTAGGCCTCAGGCCTGTTCTAGAAGATAAGCATAGGCCCTGATCCTTGTGTTTTTAGTTTATAACATATCTTGAGGAACTGAGCAGAATATAATTTCTTGTGGGTGGGAAAATTTGAAAAAGATGGCAAGAAATGGTTTGGGTTTTATGTTTTTCTCCCCAAATCGACAATTAAATACAATACTCCTTCCTCTTGGGGAAAATGGCACAAAGAAAGATGAAATTTCCTCTTGACTCTGTAGTTCTGAAGGCAACATATTTCTATTTTAAGAGCCAGGTAGGAAAACTGTGAGGCAGAGAAGATGGTTCCTTTTAATATAAGCAAATAAATTATTGTTCTTATGGTCTGAATGTTTATGTTCCCCCAAAATTCATATGTTGAACTCCTCACCTCCAAAATGATGGTATTAGGAGGTGAGGCATTTGGGAGATTATTAGATTATGGGGTTACCACCCTCATTAATAAGATTACTGCCATTATAAAAGGGGTCTGAGAGAGAACCCTCAGCTCTTCCACCATGTCAGGTTAGAATGAGAAGACAGCTGTCTATGAGGAAGTAGACCCTTACCAGACACTGCATCTGCCAGTATCGTATCGTGGAGTTCTTAGCCTCTAGAACTTCAAAAAATAAATCTCTGTTGTTTATAAGCCACTCACACTATTGTATTTTGTTATAGCAGCATGAATGGACTAAGATACTTGTGATATTCTTGAAAGCTTTTATGTTCTGAAGTTACTTTTTAATTATATAAGAAATAGGGTTTGGATGATATACTAAAAATGAATTAATTAGTACAAAAATTAAAAATACCAACAAGAAGTCACATATGCTAACATTCTTAGTGATAATTTTTCCTAAATTTTCCTCCCTACTTTTTACTGGTAATAAAGTTTTCCTAATTTTTACTCATAATAAACTGATCCACAAGAAACATTCAATAGTAAATCATGTATAAATACTGAGTACATACTATGTGCAAAATACTTTGCCAAATGAGGGGACACAGACATTTAAAAAAATCAGTCCTGATCTTACAGTCTAGGGAAAGAAACAGATTTCAAAAAATACATTTACAATAAGGTGTGTTAAGCCATTCACAGTCCAATGAATGGACTATAACAAAGTACCTACTTAATATCCATTTTCTGCTTCTTCCTTAGTAACAGAAATCCAATTCAAGTTTGGATGACAATGTAAACTTAAAAATATCCTGTCTGTCTTGCAGTTAAGAGTGACCTTATAGATAGCACATTTCTTTTTAAAGAAGTAGAAACCTGCCAGGGATTTTGGAATAAGTTGTGTCAATTCAAGTTTCTTGATTTAGGCACTATCCTCCCTCTTATATTTAAAACATGTTTTGTGACAAGAACACCTAACATGAGACCTACTCTCTTTTTTTGAGATAGAGTCTTGCTCTGTCACCCGGGTTGGAGTGCAGTGGCACGATCTTGGCTCACTGCAACCTCTGCCTCCCAGGTTCAAGCAGTTTTCCTGCCTCAGCCTCCTATGTAGCTGGTACTACCAGCGCCCGTCACCACGCCCAGCTAATTTTTGTATTTTTAGTAGAGACGGGGTTTCACCATGTTGGTCAGCTTGGTCTTGAACTCCTGACCTCATGATCCACTAGCCTCGGCCTCCCAAAGTGCTGGGATTACAGGTGTGAGCCACCGCGCCTGACCAATTTTTTGTATTTTTTAGTAGAGACGGGGTTTCACTGTGTTAGCCAGGATGGTCTCGATCTCCTGATCTCATGATCTGCCCACCTCAGCCTCCCACAGTGCTGGGATTATAGGTGTGAGCCACTGCACCCAGCCTCTTTTAACAAATTTGTAATAAAATAATACATTACTGAAATTGTACAATGTTGCACAGCAGATCTCTAGAGCTTATTTACCTTGCTTCACTGAAACTTTATGCCCATTAGTTATTAATTAAATGATTAATTAATTAATTATCCCCATTTCCTCCTTCCCCCAGTCCTTGGAAACTACCATTTCACTCATTGATTCTATGAATTTGATGATTTTGGATATCTCATATAAGTGGAACCATGCAGTATTTATCTTTCTGTGACTGGCTTATTTCACTTAGCATGATGTTCTCAAGGTTCATCCATGTTGTCTCATATTGCAGAAATTCTTCTTTTTAAAGGCTGAATAGTATTCTATTGTATGTATTTGCCCACTTTATCCATTCATCTGTCAATGAACATTGAGTTTATTTCCACATTTTGGTTATTATGAATAGTGCTGCAATGAAAATAGGAGTGCTAATATCTCTGTAAGATCTTGGTTCCAATTCTTTTGCACAAAGACCTAGAAGGGAGATTGTTGGATAAATGCTAGTTCTACTTTTAGTTTTTTGAGGAACTTCCATACTGTTGTTTATTTTGCTTTTGTTGCCTGTGCATTTGGTATCATATCCATAATATCACTGCCAAGACCAAAGTCATTAAGTTTTTAACCCTGTTTTCTTCTAGGAGTTTTACTCTTTTGAGTCTGATGTTTTTAATCTATTTTTATTTTTTTAAGAGACTGGGTCTTCCTATGTTGCCCAGGCTGGTCTTGAATTCTTGGGCTCAAGTGATCTTCCTGCCATGGCCTTCCAAGTAGCTGAGATTATAGGCACCACCACTTAGGCCACATTTGGAGTTTACTCTGTGGATGGTGTTAGATAAGGGTCCAATTTCTTTTCTCTCTCTCTTTTTTTTTTTTTTGAGACAGTGTTTTGCTCTGTCACCAGGCTGGAGTGCAGTGGCGCCATCTCGGCTCACTGCAACCTCTGCCTCCTGGGTTCAAGCTATTCTTCTCTCTCAGCCTCCCAAGTAGCTGGGACTATAGGCGCACACCACCATGCCCAGCTAATTTTTGTATTTTTAGTAGAGATGGGGTTTCACTATGTTGGCCAGGATGATCTCAATCTCCTGACCTTGTGATCCACCTGCCTTGGCCTCTCAAAGTGCTGGGATTAC